ATCTCACTTTTTTTAAAAGCAGATTGGTTAAAAATGTTTTTCCTGTACCTCCTGGGGCATCTCACTTTTTTTAAAAGCAGATTGGTTAAAAATGTTTTTCCTGTACGTCCTGGGGCATCAAGGGAAAAAAATGTCCCTAAATTGTTATCAATTGTTAATAGTAATGCAGTGAATACTTTTTTCTGATCGATGTTTAATCGTGGCTCATCTTGAGCCATATTTTGTAAAAGTATCGTTTGATCGTATGATGTTTATCGTGTATTCGGCACTGTTAGTTAAATGTGAGTTAGTAGTATTAGCTTCTGACAATGTCTTTTCCTAGTGAGAATCGTCTTCCAAGAGCCCCATAGCTTTGCATGGGTAGTATTGTAAACAATACCTTAAACTGTTCTTAGGTGTGCGAAGGATGTCGGGCCTTTTACAATATGCAGTAACATTCTCAGATAAAAGCATTCGCTGTTGTTGGGATGAACCACATAGACTCTACCAAGAGCATTCGTTTTTTTTACTCCGGGGAAACTATCCACTGCACCTTGTACCTTTTTTTTGCCGTTAAAAATAAGATACCTATTCTATTTAGTTGTTTTTTTTTAACTGAAGTATAATAAACGCGTCCGATAATAAACGCGTCCGATCGCTCCTAATTCAAAGTGCTACAGAGAGAACGACGGCCACCGACGCGCTATTTATAGGCACGCTCCCGCCGCCCCGGCCGGCGGGTACCGCCGCAAACGCTACGTTCCGCAATTTTTAAATCTGTAATATCTTTGAAAATATTCACTTAAATAATATGCTGTAAAGGGCCCTATAGATCTATTGCATAATAAATTAAATTAAAACAAGTATTTAAGGGATTTAACTGAATTAAATTGATTAATTAAAATCGCTTCGAAAATTAGCCATTATTTGTCGTAAAAAGTAAATGACAAAAAAATGTTATTGTGGGATATCCATAAGAGATAGACATATACCGGAGTTTTCTGTAGACCTTTTCAATACGTACAATACATTATTTTGATAATTATCGTAGGGTTCAGCCTGCGTTTGCAATGTAAGCCGAAAAATTGTAATTATTTACGACATCATTTTATTTATTTATTTATTATACATATAAACCTTCCTCTTGAATCACTCTATCTATTAATAAACCGCATCAAAATCCGTTGCATAGTTTTAAAGATTTAAGCATACATTGGGATATAGGGACAGAGAAAGCGACTTTGTTTTATACTATGTATTGATAAACATTACGTGAACAAAAACGCATACATTCTGTGCATCGTGACAACTAGACTCCAGTAAAAATAAACTCATTATTTTTTTAGCATTTAACTGAAGGGTTCTTTTAGGAAAGTTAGAATTATCTGATTTAGGAACCGTTTTGCTCAAACACGATTCCTCTCCTATTTTCCAATGCTACCTTCAGACGGTCCAATTGTTGACAGTACAGGTTTCAATTAAGAGTTTGGCCGTAGAGAGCAGATCAAAGTAGATTTATTTTGATATCCCACCAAACACATAACACACACTGACCGTTAATCCTAGTTTTGGCCACCTTAAAGTGGTTCCAAACGGTTTTTGTAGAATGTTTAATTTCTGGCCAATCGAAACTGTGCTTACATGACGGTCGGCAATCATTTTCGACTTAATTGAAGAAAATCTGTAAAATACATTTTTTCTTTGCTGGTGCCCATCATTGACTCGTGCTCAAACGATACTGACTGAAGAAAATACCAAACTGTCTGAAAAGTGTTTGAAGTAAAAAATCGTATCTTTCTAACGCCGTGCTCGTATAGTCGACGCACTTATACAACGCGAGATAGAGATTACTAAAGTCATTATTATAAGCCAATAATGGATTTCTTTTTACCAGACCTTATACATTTCCTTCGAAGCACAAGTATTTTATATATTTTCCTAATAAACTTATAATCAAACTTGAGCTGTGGTTTTATATTTCTATAAAATTATTTTAATCATTGGAAATATTTGATATACATACATAAGTATGTGATGCTCGCAGAAATTCTTAACAATTTTATGTAATATTATATTACCTTTCATTGAGAAACCATACAATACAAACTTGCATTATAATAAATTCTTTTCACTTAAAACTTTCCAGGTAATTACTTTTTCCACAATATTATTGTATTCATCAATATGGCATAAGCAAAATATGATAGTCAAGTGTTTATTTGAGTATCACATTACCTTTTAAAATAGTTGTAGTACCAATTTGTCTTACCACATGTTGCATTTCATTTGAAACTTTCATCTGAGTAATTAATCGACTTACCGTTATTATGTGGTATGTTGTGGCGATCAATAAGCGGGGCTGCACGGACTTCAATTCCTGACACCTCCTGCGTTATAAATATAACAACAGCAACAAAGCATAAACATCGTAATTTGAGTAAATAGAGTTGCATCACTGCCACACCTTTCCACACTTGATTTATCCAGTTAAATTTATATAGTTTATATTTAAATATTTCGAATCGAACTGTATTACCAATAGAAATTACTTAAACTTCTAACTTACTCGTCGCGAACTTTGTTTAAAGAAACTGTAAGTCAAATATATAAAAATGCGAAATTTTACGTATCTACCAGCCGGTGGCTTTTCGTTTAATACCGTATTTCTTTAATTTCCAAACATGCCATCAAGAAAAATATGTAAGGAAAAGTAGCCGCTAATATGTGCGACATCACAATATTAACTACGTGACAAAAATTTGTGTATGGCACCTTTTGTACCCGAACGGATGAGCGTCTATTGTGTTTTTCCGTACATATCAACCACGAAAAAAATGTTCCGGTAGTCGTTATCAACTTATCGCGTTACATAAAGGACCGCGTGTTGCATTTTAGGGCTGTTGGCGATAAGAAAATAACCCCAAATATGTGTGAATGTGTAACATGCCTACAGCTATGAGCAAGCAACCCAAGGAATACTGGCTGCTTATCGTGTTCAATGTGATACAACGCCCACGCCAAGCCAATGTCATTCGTCTTATTATGCTTCAATAGTAACTACTAGCCATTGAGTTGCAATACAAGCTTCTTCTTTGGAGATGCCCAAGTACAGAGAGCAGAGAGAAAGTAAAATTACCAAATAATATGGTAGGTCATATATCTCTATCTGAAACAGCTCAATTTGCGTTAGCATTCCTCTTTCATGCACATCATTATTTTTTATGTGATATAGTAAGTCCCTCAAGATATTGCTTTCGAAAAAAAAATGGTGCCCCGGCGCAGAGTCTTCTTACAGTCTACTTACATACATGAATACCAAACAATGGTGTACATATACTTACATATAACTTTTTTTACACTGAACAGGGTATATTAACTTTGCCACGAAATTTGTAACACCCAGAAGGAAACGTATATAGATTAAATACACGAGCTAACTAGCCTATCAGATTTTAGATATCGATCTGAAATTTTGCTTAAGTCCTTTTCTACCCAAGAAGCTGCTACTTTATCGGAGTCGCCGCTATCGAACCACTATAGGATATAGCCGATATACAAACTGATCATTTAAAATCTAGTCCTTGTATAGAAAATTTTTTATTTGATAAGATATCTTAATGAAATTTCTCCCAAGTATAATTCATTGATCAGACCGGACAACTATAGCATATAGCTGTCATACGAACTGACCGAACAAAACTAATATTTTGTATGGAAAACTTTTTATTTGGCAAGATATCTTCATGAAATTTAGCATAAATTATTATACGAAGCAACGCTACAGTCACCGAGCAAATGGTTCAGATCGGATCACTATATCAAAATTAATATAAAGATCTTCATAAAATACCCTTCTTCCTTTTCCTCAATTCGACTTAAAGGTTGTTTATTAAACAACGTAGCTAGAAAAAATAATCAAAATATTTTCCGTTGGATGCTAACCGTTGACCTTTTACGTTTTCGGTTTTTTACACATATTAAGGTTTTTTTTTTTAGTATTATTTATTTTACGTAAATGGTTCGTGAATAATGTTGTTGGCTAATGGATAATGGGAGAGATATGGCAATTCAGAACAAAATGTGTATGAAACAAACCAATTCAAAGTAAACTCATTTCCGTGCAGGGTAGTTACTTAGGCCACCAAATCCGAGCATATTCTCTTTACTTATGTGTGCGTTGAGGCCGCTATGTTTTTCTAATAGCCCAGCAAACAAAGTCTCTAATGTTAAATATATTAAGCTATTGACTGAATCAAGAAATTCCGTAACAGAAATGAACCTAACACGTTCACAAAGTATGCGCGAAATGTTTGCATATTTTTAGGCGTATTTTCACATATCTCAAGCCTAACAAATCAATTGAAGAGACAGCAGGGTGATTCAAAAATAATAATCAATCACAATTTTTTAATGGCAAATAATAATATGGAATTTAATAAAAATTTAATTTATTACAAGTAAATTATTCAAGATTCGGAGTCATAATATTAGTAACATTATTATTATTTGCTACCACAACTTTTGGAACAATAGCTCGTTTGAATTGAACAATACAATTGAAATTAGGTATTTCAATCAGATTATCAATGGTAATGAATTTCCACTTATCTTGGCTGGTGATTTCAACATCAACTTCGCTGAATAAAAATCAGAGCGGTTGACAACCTTTCTTTCGAAAAAATGATGTTGAAAATTATCCACAAGACTCCACAACAAAATATGGGACCACCATTGACGCGGAAATGAAAGAAAACGCGAAATTTAAATGTATGTTATGAAATCTTTTGTGATGCCATGCTTAGTAGTATCAATTTTCAATTGAAATTTAAAAAAAAAAAAACATTTATTAATTGAGAGCTAATAAATTTATTGTTTTCATTAAGTATTGAAAATTCAAATATCAATTGTTTCAATATATTACAAAATCACAAAAAAGGGTTTAAATAGTTTCTGCATATGTTTAACAAATACATGTATATTTAAATTCCCAAAAATTATGATTTTGTCCGATCTTGCTACAATGGAAAATGTTATAAAAAACGCTAATTTATTTAAAATATGCTATGCAATAGCCTTACCGCGGCAGTCCCCGAGGGACACACGTATCTTTTTTTTATTATCAATTAAATCACTATTGTAGTATAATTCTCGAACGGTGTTATCTAGTCGAAAGCAATTGTAAAATATTATACAATACGAGAGAGATTGGAAACGGGCCGTATAACTTAAATATTTAAAAATACATATATGTATTTAACAAGTTAGTTTCAATTCAAATTAGCATGTCATTAAGGATTACATTATAGTTCGATTGGAGCACTAACTCGATTGCAGAATTATGCTTTGATATGTATCTCCATTGCTTCGAGATTAGAAAAAGGCACTATTATCTATGTGTTTGCTGGGAGTATTCGTTTTGAACGTTCTCTTCTACTCAGCTCAGGTTTGTGTCAGGTATACTGGCCCATGCAAAAATCAATATTAGTTTAATAGCGTACCGCTTCTCGTTAAAGTTTCACACTTTAGAAATGTTACGCCTATGTACACAGAATAGAAAAATAGAATATACAAAGAAACATGATACGGTTCTATACTCTAGTTGCGAACTCGAGTGTAACAGAAACAAGGAGGTAATAAAATAAATTAAATAAATTACACGCACTAGTTGAATGGTAAATGTAAAATACGTGACAACCCCAACTCGTACACTTTACTAATGCTCTTTTAGTGTTTGCAAAAAATTGCTGTAACAGCTTACTTTTAGTTTTAGAGTAGTAACGGGTGATCCAAGTGGAGGTACTTTTTTCAATAGCCTTTTTTTGACAAATCACGCGTAAGTCGTGTCAAGTTGTCAAGTTATTAGTGTTCAGTATTGTTTGGCATTTCAACATGGAAAGACTTACGACTTAATGTTTACAAATGGTTCAACTTCATTACGAAAATTCACGTTCTGTAAAGAATGAGTTTCGCGCGCTTTCGAGCCAAATTTTGTTCAAAATTGCTGCATTTGGGACGACGAGTAACCTGAAGAGATTCAAGAGCTGCCATTTCAAAAACAACGGTTTGGTGTGGTTATTTATTCAAAAATGATGCCGGCGAAATCGTAACCGTCAATACCGACCGTTATCGCGCCATGATAACCGACTATTTGATGCCCAAAATTGAAGCTCGTCGGCATTTTCCACACATCGCATCAATCAATGGATTTATTGAGAGAACACTTCGGTGAGCAGATAATTTCACGTTTTGGCCACCAAGATCATGTTATATCACACCGTTAGACTTTTTCATGTTTAGATATGTAAAGTCTAGAGTCTATGCGGACAACCCCAGTTACCAGTCGAAATGCTAGAACGAGTCATAGAAAATTGGACTCAACGGATGGACCATCTGAGACGTAGCCGCGGAAAACATATGAAAGAGATAATCTTCAAATATCAAATATCACGCATTCCATTCGCCAGTTACCAGTCGAAGTGCTCGAACGAGTCATCGAAAATTTAACTGAACGGATGGACCATCTGAGACGTAGCCGCGGCCAACACTTGAAAGAGATAATCTTCAAAAAATAAATGCCAAAGAATGTTCTTTCGAATGATAATAAACAGTGCCCATTAAATTTGAATTTTCTGTATTTTTTTCTTTAAAAAATTAGGGAACCTTGAAATGGATCACCCTATATATAAATAACATTACAAATGTATTGCTTGTATTTTGAAATTTGGTAATAGAACAAATACATTTCCTTCCTTGAACTTGAATCATCCTAATTTAAAACTAGAAAAAAACGTTAACTTCAGCTACACCGAAGCCCTAATACCCTTAGCAAGGCAATTTCTCATAGCATAAAAGGGTATAAAAAGATCTTCAGAAGAATCTTGTCAATAGAAAACATTTTTCATACAAGGACTTATTTTGACCAATCACTTTGTATGGCAGCCATATCTTATAGTGTTCCGATATCGGCGTTTCCATGTAATGAGCAGTTTCTTAGAAAAAAAGAACGTATGTAACTTTTTTCCAAATTTTAAGGGGTAAATTACCCTTTTCTTTGCATTTTATGGAATCAATGACCCCTTTTTTAACATTTCATAAGATCAAAAACCCTTTCTAATCAGAAAGACAGATCACACATGAGCCCAAATCGATATAGAGACAGCAAATATTTTTTCGGAATATGTTGAAATCGTCCTTAAACCATATGATACATTTAATGCAGCTGAAATGAAACCTTATAATTACAATAATTACACCGAAATCACTCTAGTAACTAACAATGAGGTATGTGCAGAAATAAAAAAATTTAAGTCTAAAAAACCTTACTGCCCTTATTACCAGCGAAATACTAAAACTTGGCTTTCGGAAAAATCACTTTACTATTGACCAAGCGCATAGAGTTACTCGAGTTATTGAAAATGCCGTTCGAATCGATTTTTCAAGTTAAACACGGAGATATGTTCACTGATTTAAAGGAAATAAGAGCTGGTGTTCCTCAGAGTAGTGTTAGGGCCCATCCCTTACTTATTCTTTATCTACCACACGATGACAACTGTAATACAGCAACATTTGCAGATGATACTGCTGCGAATGATACCAAATAAGTACATAATGATTCCACTTACAACAATATTAGATATGTATATGCAATATTAGATATGTAAGTTAACAATAGTTAACTAAGTCAGTCTCTTGAACTGCCAAAATTGCAACCTATGCAGTTTGGATTTCTGAATAACCGACAGCCGCAATTTAACACCTTGCAGTAGCCACCGACCGTGTGACCGGCGGATGTAACGCAATGCCTTACACAAGCTTAGGCGTCAGCAGAAACTTAGAAAAGCAGCGTCAATGGCAGTAGTGGCGATAGTAATAGTAGGTTATAAACAAGAGAAATGTAATTTTAATAAATCAGTTTTAGAACGAAACTCAAATTGTGTTTAATTAAAATAACATAATTCCGTGGTAGTCGACAACACCGTCGCTACCGAATAAAGTAAAAGTAGTGATAATAAAACAAGTAAGGAAGGGCTAAGTTCGGATGTAACCGAACATTTTATACTCTCGCAAAGTCAAATAGTATACTCGTTTGAGATTTCTTTGTGGATTGACTGATATTTTCGGTAGAAGGTCAACTATAGGCACTGGGGTCCACATATTTAGTACTTAGGAGCTTGAACAGTTTTGGTTCGATTTAGACAATTTTGGTCACAGGGTGGCATACTTTAAACGTATTATTCACGCAAAGTTTTACCCTGATATAATCATTGTTGCTTGATATGCATAGTGAAAGAATCAGATGGATTTGAAAATGGAGTTATATGGGAAATAGGCGTGGTTGTAATCCGATTTCGCCTATTTTCGCACTATAACATAGAAATATGAAAATAACGTTATGTACCGAGTTTTTTGAAATTGGTTAAGCAGATCTCAAGATATGGGTTTTCACCTAAAAGTGGGCTGTGACACGCCCACTGTCTAATTTTGAACGCGGTTCTAAAGTCATATCCTACCATCCCAGAGATAAAATTTTATGTCTCTGGCGTCTTTAGTGCTTGATTTATCGCGCTTTTAGTAGTTTTTAACAGTACCGTATATGGGGAGTGGGCGGAGTTGCCACCCGATTTTAACTATTTTTACACTGTAGGTAGAAGTTCTAAAACATTTACTTCCAGTGAATTTTGTTATTATGCATTAGCGGTTTAGGAGATATGACATTAACCTATTAGAGGCGGGACCACGCCCACTTAAAAAAAAATTTAACTGCAGATGCCCTTCCCTAATGTGATCCTGTGTCAACTAACAGTCTTGTATCTTATTGCGGAGCTTAGTTATGGCAATTTATTTGTTTTTGATTAATGGCGTTTTGTGGGCGTGGCAGTGGTCGATTACGGCCT